AAAATTTCTTTTTCGCATTTTATCGCTTAAATCATTTTGTCAAAATTCACAACTTTCTTATGAAAAGAAACACAAATTAAATAAACACATGCTAAGCTCTTACAAAATTTTTAATATCATTTATTTTCCCTCTTCCTTCCAAAATGTATTTAAGTCTCTAGCTGAACCGAATAGAACAAAATTATATAAATTAGAAAGTTTTCCGTCCGCAATGCTTCCTAAATTATGGAATGCAAGAAAGAAACTAAATCTGCAAATATATTAAAACAAAGAGTAATCAATATTTATCTTGAGAATTATGAGAGGTTTAAATGCTCTGCTTTGTAGTTGAATAAAAGTATGAATTTTTTTATTTATTTGTTCAATTTTACTTGTTAAAAGAGGTAATAAAGTTGTAGCGGTGAGTTATCGAATGTGAAATCTAAAATTAAATCTAAATAAATTTCATACTTTTAGAAAACTTAGTTTTTAAATTTGCATAAAAAACATGTCTTTTTGTGAAACAAAACTTTGGAAAAAGATAAAATTGTATTTGAAATATATCCTGATATAACACAAATTTTGTTTATTAATTTTGTAAGGGGGTGCAGGGGAGGTTCTCAGATGTACAATTGTATGTTTTTAAGGAGCACCATTATAGGGAAATGCTTAGTAAAAGATAAATTACTAAAATTTAATAAATGTAAAAAATGTATAAACATGGACAATGAGACCTCTACCTGAAAAACTTGGCCCACAAGGATTCTGGAAATAATAAGGATTACCAGATTATATTTTTTAATATATCATTACAATTTAATCCTTTACACTCAGTCATCTAAAATTTCGGCAACTCAAACTACAGAATATTGCTCAGTTTTAAATTTTTAAGAATTTTTAAAAAATGTTTGATTTAGGGCCAAAGAACTAGTTTCTGGCAAATTTCAAATAAAAACTTAGTTTTTTTGTCTGCAACTTGTTCAATTTAAAACATATTTTAAAGATTTTAACAGTTTTGAATTTAGTGTTTCAAGCTACCAACTTTTATGGTACTCAAATCGACATATTTGAAAAAAATAGTGAATAATTTTTAAAAAAACGTGCTAATTGGATTTGAAAGTAAGGGGATAAATCATTTTTTAAATTTTTTTTTATCATTTAAGACACGTGTTAAAAGCATCTGACCATGTTTATCAAAAAAAATGCCAACTGGTCCCACCCTTACTGTCATAGTAAAATAATAGCTGTCTGGTGCTAAAATATGTTGTATCTCAAGGAAAACACTGAAGTGTATTTGAGAGATTTGAAACATGTATGAAAGTACTGAACATCATAAAAATATATCGTCTATTCCGACCAATTGAGAGATATAAAATGTTGAATACAGAATGTAAACACCAGGAATATTAACATCTAAAACTGTTTCTAGGTTCTTTCTTAAAATGGAGGTAAATAAAAAGAAGAAATTGAACATTTAGCTAAACGAACAATAAAACTGAACAAGAACAGAGAATTGCATTAAACACTGTACACTGAATTATGAACACCGAACACTGAACACTGAACACTGAACACTGAACACTGAACACTGAACACTGAACACTGAAAAATGAACACTGAACACTAAACACTGAACACTGAACACTGAACACTGAACATTGAATACGAACCGAGTACTAAACATTGAACAGCGATAAAGAACAGCGAACAATAAACAGTCAACAGTGAAAAGTGAACAGTGGACAGTAAGCAGTAAATAGTGAACAATGAACGTGAACAGCAATAATAAACACTGAACATTGAACACTGAACACGTACCGAGCACTAAACAGTGGACAGTGAACAGTGTATAATGAACAGTAAATAGTGAAAAGCGAACCAAAAACATGGTCTCCTTTGTTTCCATCAAGTTCTAACTCCAAACAATACCAGTAAGAACTAAAGTTAAGGACGCATAGAATATTAATGAAAACCAAAATGATTAAGACTTATAAATAATCATGAAGTCGAAATTATAACCCTTTTTTATTGAACTTATTGTTAGGACTTTTTACATGATGAAACAAAAGCCAAGAATTCAAGAAAAACTGAAAAAGATTCTTTGTAAGTAGTTTGCAGTTGTTTAAATTTGTCCAAACTGTTCAACAAATAAAAATCTTCTTAGGATTTTAATCTTACTTGGCCTCCATTTTAAATATAATGAGTGCTATAAATGATTCAACATCTTTGAACAATTTCCGAGAAACACCAAAATTATATTTATCTATAAGATTATCAGTTTAGAAAAAGGTCACTTTAAAATGTCTTTCATCACCTAAGCTGAAAACTTTAGAATGGTGCATATCTGGATTAATGCATAAAAACCTCTCTTTTTTCTTAATATCGAGACTAATCAAATCTTGTACTTGTATCCTGAAAAGTGTATACAATTCAACCAATCAGAGTCGCATATATGAAGCCGATAAATTTGAAATTTTGCGCGCCATTTAAGATTATATTCAGAAACGGGAGGGAGTCTCTACATTTAAAAAACCGATTTTTGATTTTTCTATGAAAGTGCCCGGCGTTACCCGTATTCTTTTAAAAAAATCTATTTAAAAAATGCAAATTACCTTAAAAAAGGATAGTCAATTTGGTCCAGCCGTTTGGTCAGCTAAATATAACAAATATATGAATATGGATTTATTTATTTCTTAAACCTACCAATTTAAACAGAAAACCCCGAGAAAATTTGTTTGTATTTTGGAGTACGATGAACCATGGCAACATGAAAAGAAACAGTAAAGCTGAAATTGTACGAAGAGGTGTGCCCTTGAAGTTAATTAAAAATATATGTATTCATTTTCTTTATTATAAACTCAATATATATAACAAACATTTATGCATAAATGGTACAATGTAAGAAAAATTACACTATATAAAGTTTATATGTTTTAGCTAAGACAAGTTATAGTTTTAAATGATCAAACAAAATTAATAGTTCAAGCAAACGATGAGAGGTTTTAGTTTTAAGTCTTAGAAAAATGATGGAAGAGGTTCATGATAAAAATGTTTATAATAAGAGTGTCCTGGACCCGGGGTCAACATTTTAAAATTCTTTGGATTCAACTATTTTGTGTAAATAATAAAAGGAATATAAAATTAAACAAATCCTTTTTGAGTAAATAGTTCATAAAGTAGAGTCAGCCCTTGAACATTTAGCTATATATAATCATTCAAATTTCAAAATTCAACACTAATTGTAAGAATTAAATAAAACATTTAAAGAAACTTGACAAGACTTGCATCAAACTCTAATTTTCAAATCTCTATATCTCTGTAACCTGATTGTGTGCACCTTTGCTGTTTTAAACTTTGACTTTTTGATCTAGAGGCATTTATGTATTTAAATATGTATTTAAAGGGACTATTAAGGAAAAATTAAAGGGGGTATAGGCTGAAACCTAAGTTACTAAGAAATTGATTGAAACACTTGCGAGTTCTGATTTTCCTATCTCGAGAAATTGATAAAAAAAACGGTGTCAAATTTATTCAAAAAACGATATATACCAAATTTGGTGCAAAAATAGAAGGATATTAAACAGATAATATTCAGCAAATACGCAACCAATCTGGAAACAACGATATCCCAGAGTAACTTAAAGGTTTGCTCTCGTTATTATTTGATTTTCATCATTTTTCATTTTGATAGATTTAATTGAAAATTACGTCCGTATCACGTGACCAGAGTTATGGTCTCCTGATACGGACGTATTTTTTATATTGAAGAAGCAATGATTTGATTCTCTATGAAAGTTAGGAATGCTCGAGAATTATGAGGAAAATCCGGGAACTGGAAAACTGGATCATTTCAACACTAATTGTAAGAATTAAATAAAACATTTAAAGAAACTTGACAACACTTGCATCAAACTCAAAATTTTCAAATCTCTATATCTCTGTAACCTGATTCTGTGCACCTTTACAATTTTAAAATTTGTCTTTTTGATCTAGAGGCATTTATGTATTTAAATATGTATTTAAATGGACTGTTAAGGAAAAATGAAAGGGGGTATAGTTACTATGAAGTTGATTTAAACACTTGCGAGTTCTATCTGATGTTCCTATCTCGAGAAATTGATAAAAAACGGTGTCAAATTTATACAAAAAACGGTATGTTCCAAATTTGGTATAAAAATAGTAGGATTAATTACAAATAATATTCCGCAAATACGCATCCAATCTGAAAACAACGATATCCCAGAGGAGCCTAAGTAACTTAAAGGTTTGCTTCTGTTATTATTTGAATTTAATAATTTTTCATTTTGATAGATTTAATTGAAAATATAATTATGACGTCCGTATCACGCGACCAGAGTTCTGGTCGCGTAATATATATTGTAGAAGCAATAATTTGATTCTCTATGAAAGTTCAGAATGGTCGAGAATTATGAGGAAAATCCGGGAACTGAAAACTAGAATCCATATCAATTATGTCTATTATAAATGAAAAATAAAAATTATAAAATCTAAAAGGAGCAAACCAAAGTGACTTAGGCTCCTCTGGGTTATCGTCGTTTTTAGATTGGTTGCGTATTTGCTGAATATGATCTGCCTTATCCTTCTATTTTTATACAACATTTGGTATATACCGAATTTTGTATAAATTTGACACAGTTTTTTATTATCGATTTCTTGAGACAGGAACATCATTTTTCCTTTACAGTCCCTTTAAGTTGAAAAAAATAGAGTTTGAGACAAAAAATCAGTTTCTTTACAAGATTGGACATGTTTCAATATTTATCTCGATTGTAAAATGTTTAAGATAAAATCGTCTAGCTGAATCTTCTCCCTGATTTCGTTAATCACTTTTGGTTCTTCTGCCATTGTCAAACGTTTTCAACTTTAAAGGGTCGGTTCAACGTTAAATTTACGAATGTTCACCAAATTGATACACATGTTTTTGGAAAAATAACAAAACTCAGCAAATCTTTCCGTGCAAACATGTTCCTGAGCTAATCAGAATAATTTTAGAAAAAACACAAAAAGATGTTTATTTATGTGGTGTTTCCAAACATTTTATAATTTGAAGATAAACAGTTTTCATTACTGAATACTCCTGTTCATTTGAAGCACAGTACCTACATTATGCAGCCAGACTAGGTTGTACAGTATACACACCAGCTAGGAAGCAAGACTAGGTTGTACAGTATATACACCAGCTAGGAAGCTAGAATAGGTTGTACAGTATACACACCAGCTAGGAAGCTAGACTAGGTTGTACAGTATACACACCAGCTAGGAAGCTAGACTAGGTTGTACAGTATACAAACCAGCTAGGAAGCTAGACTAGGTTGTACAGTACACACACCAGCTAGGAAGCAAGACTAGATTGTACAATATACACACCAGCTAGGAAGCTAGACTAGGTTGTACAGTATAAACACCAGCTAGGAAGCTAGACTAGGTTGTACAGTACACACACCAGCTAGGAAGCAAGACTAGATTGTACAATATACACACCAGCTAGAAAGCTAGACTAGGTTGTACAGTATAAACACCAGCTAGGAAGCTAGACTAGGTTGTACAGTACACACACCAGCTAGGAAGCTAGACTAGGTTTTACAGTATACACACCAGCTAGGAAGCTAGACTAGGTTGTACAGTATAAACACCAGCTAGGAAGCTAGACTAGGTTGTACAGTACACACACCAGCTAGGAAGCTAGACTAGGTTGTACAGTATACACACCAGCTAGGAAGCTAGACTAGGTTGTACAGTATACACACCAGCTAGGATTAATTTTGGAAAATTATTATGCCATTGGCATTTTGCACGGAAATATTTTCAATAGGGCATCATTCCACTTTGAGTGTATATTCTAAAAAAGATGAACATTCTCCATAATTCAACTATTCACAGATCACTGTAATATCCTGTAGCTGGTTAAAATAAGCATGATCCCAGCTGGAGACAAACCGGTCACCCTATCCGCACTGTTACACAGGTAGTAGCTGCAGTAGCAGAATTTTTCACTATGTTTTCCCATCACGTGATTCTCACATTCAATATGGAATATTTTATCTTTTGTAGAGCACCCTCGACCCGTTACCTCTCCTTCTGAAATTATTATTATTAAAGTATTTGAAAATGCATTGAAAAAAAATTGACAATCCCGCTAAAGTATTAATATACAGTATGATTCACAGAGTAATATGGCTGAAATAAATATTCAATGTGTTTCCTTTTTTAATCTAAAAGTAATACTTGTAATTCATGAATTAAAGCGTTGTCGACACATTTATATAAAGTGAAGATTTTTTTACTGTTGAGTGTTTCTTAAAGCTTTTGAGAAAAAAAACCCTTAAAGGGACTGTTCAGTAATTTTAAGTGAACTAACATGCAAAGATGGTTATGTCTGAAACTTGTCTGGTCAAGCATGCATTAGATTTCCATGTTTCTTGTTAAAGTTACATGTGCATTTCTAGCTTAAGAATCAATGGAAAAATTATCAGAATTAAACATATTTCGAGCCAGAGTCTTCCACATTATTGATGAGATTAAAGTTTGAAGGGTACCTATGTGAATCGGGTATATTCTCGTCTTTGCATGGTGGTTCACTTGAAATTACGCTTACATTCCCTTTAAGAAAAGTATTAAAAAAGCACTAAAATCCCAAGGGCCTTCTGTAAAATAAATGCACTATGTTTTATCAATTTTTCCTAAAAGAATGCTCGCTCTGTAAAAAGGTTTTATATTAAATTTGAATGAACAAATATATGATATGACACATGATATTTTTATAAAAAAGCTTGAAGCCATTCATGTTCATGTTCATTTCGCAGGAAAAGAACATGATTTAGTAAGTGCTAGAATCAAATCATTTATTTTGATTTGCTTTAAAAAATCAATATTGATTTCTGGTTTTTCACAGATTCTAAACATCCTTTAGATATATCAACAACTGAAATGCTTAGTTCTTATGAAATGTACGATTTTTATGTTTTGATCTCCATAAAACGGATTACTAATTTAATCCAAAAGTTTTAATTTTTTATCTCTCTAATTTTGAATAGCCTCGTACTGCTGTATTCTGTAGGGAAATAAAATGTTTAACTAATTCTTTTAATGTTTCTAGAAAAGTCTTTAATCTCTACTATTCAGAGCTATTCACAACGCCCTTTTTAAGTTATAGAAAAAGATAAAACCGCCATAAAACTGATGTAACAAAGCAGTATTGTTTCAAAATGAAATTAAAACATTTTTTAAGTTTCTTCCCTCCCTCATTTCTCCTTTATGCCACATAGAATTTGAATGGATATTTGTGTACTCTTGAATATGAGAAAATGACAGAAATATAAACAGAGCTAATTTTTCTACATTATATACCTTCATGAACTAAAATATAAAAAGCTAAAGAAAAATGCAAGGTAATAATGAAAGCAAAGTTATTTCAGAGGTGTACGCATTTTTTGTACTGCAGTGTACTGTCTTTGGGCGGATAAGTAAACACAAGACGGATGTCACAAAATAACATGAAAACAATTTTTACATAAATAATCCATGAAATATTCTGGTCATAGGAAACTGTTATGTGAATTTTCGAAATTTTTGAAATTAAATGCTTTTATCCGCCCAGAGAGAACTGGTTTGAATATGTACGCAGAGTACGCGACCGCAATTAACTTTCCTTGCATTAGTACCTTGGACAGATGGAAGTTTTTTAAAACAGGGGAGACAACAAAAAATCATGCACTGCTGACACTTTCCCTACTATCTGGCGTCTCCTCTACCGGGGGGGGGGGCAGTCCCCAGGAGCCCCACTTATGCCACCCCCCCCTCATTATATTGTTGAGATTACTATATCATGGCAGTTCATACATTTTTGGACAGCCCTTTAACTCTACTTCAATAATGTACAAAAAGGAATTGACTCTTTGCAACAAACTCTGATTTTCTAATCCCAATATCTTTGGAACCCAATGTCGTAAACCTTTGATATTTCAAACTTATATTTTTTGATCAAACAAAAGTCATAGTTTGAAATTTCTAAGGTTTACGACGTTGGAATCCAAAGATATTGGGATTAGAAAATCAGAGTTTGTTGCAAAGAGTCATTTTCTTTGCAAAAAACCATTTGTTTAGATTTTAAAATCAAATTACAAAGAGAAAAACGTGCGAAAACTAAAATGGCCCAGAATTTGACAAATAATATAATTTTGAAAAGCCCTTGACCCAGCAAATTAAAATATTCAAAATATTTCCAACATTTTAAATCATCAAAAATAGTATGTTGGCAATAGGACATCATAAATACCCCTTCTTTAAATATCTGGGTAATAGAGAACAAATCCACCACTCTGCATTGCAATATCGTAATTACCCTTTCAGAAACTGTTTTCTCTTTCCTTCTTCAAAAAACACATATATATATATATATTAGGTAGGAGGGAGGCAATTTGTGAAACAAGCTAAAAGCTATTTAAGTTCTCCTGCTGCAGTACTTTTACATATATTTCTTGTACATATGTTTTGTTGGTATACATAATAATTATTAATAAAGTAATATTGGTTTTAAATTTTTTTTTAAATCTACAGCAAGAAATTAATATTTTATAGTAGGGATCATAATAATTGTGTTTTGATTTGAAATAAAAGTTTCCTTGAATTTTTTTTATTGCTTATTGTACCTTTTTTAAGATGTGCCTCTTCAAAAAAACGAATAAAATATATTAAACCAATGCTAAAAAAGAATTTAAACAATGCCGGACGAAAAAAAGAAGGTGTGTATCAGAAAAAATAATGGTGAATTTTGACGTCATTTGTGGTCGGACGAATAAATGATGAGGTGTGCCTTTCCTCCCTAATAGCCATATCATACTTTAAACAAAATATTTTCTTGTGATTTTTCAATATTCTTTAATATAGATTTTGTTTGTTATATTGTATCGTTATAACTGAGAAGGTTTAACCCAGACCACGCGAAATATATTTTTTTTTTTAAATTTTGAATCATCATTAACACTACATTAAATCATACTTTTTAAAATTTAATTTTGATTATATGACAATCATATAAATCAAACATTTCTAAGAACTTGACTGTTTTTATTAGCACAACAAATTTTTAAGTTCAAATTTAAATGTTTGCACTTATTTTTGTCTAGATCAGAAGATGTAAAGATAAAACCTAAAAACATTATATATGTATGTAATATCTGCATTATCCAATAATTAGATTATTATACCCCTTCCAAACTCTATTAGAAGTGCTGTGCAGCAATGCACCAGTCTTTCAGCATCCCCGGAATAATAGGTAAAAAATGCATAAACAAAGAACATAAAGTAAAATATTAAAAATATATATCATAAAGCAAGAATTATGTGTACCATTTTTTTTGGAGGGGGGGGGGTCAAAAAGTATACTTAAAAAAGTGCAGATCTGAACCTTTGTGTCAACAGTTTTGCTTGCTTTTATATTTTGGTAACAACCAAATATTATATGATGGAAGAATCGCCTGATTCAAATTACAAACATATTATGCAATTATTCTGAAAACTTCGTAATTATAAGTTTAGATAAAAGATTTGGCAAGTAGTGTAATCAACTTACTGAAATCATATTTTGTAAAACATGTTCGAAATCCTTTCTTTTCTTCACACTGGGTCCAGTGCTTACCCAGAACATCAGAATAACATTTCAGTCCCAAACCTAAACAATAAAATAATTAATGTAGCTGAAAAATTAAATAACTTTTAAGAAAAAAATGGAAATCTAAAGTAACAATATAGAATTCAAAATAGATTTATAACAAAAGAATGCAAATTGACAAGTAAAACAGTGGATAAATAGGAAAATTTTAGATGGAATACAAAGAATTAGTTAAAAGAATAAATTTAAAATTTTTATACTTTACTGGAAAGTTAAGGGAATTTTAACTAAATTTTTCATTCCCGAAAAAGTAGTAGTACACTATTTTGTCGTCTTTTTAGATGAAAATGCGAAAAAAATGTTACGAAAACATCGCAAAGTGGGTAGTTATTTTACTTAATTGTCTGAAGGGACGTAAAGTAATTTAACATCTATATGTTAGGAGGATCATAGGTCGGTAATGTCGGTAAAAAAACTAACTGTAAATGAATTTGCAAGTTATTTTAACTAATTGGTTTAGATACAGGGTAATAGACTGGTATAACAAAAGAGAAAAAAAAAACATCAAAATAAATACATTGCAAATTAAAGATGCTTCATAACAAACTTTCCTCCCAATTATAGAAATCAGCAAGAACAAGAAAACTCTTGTGCAGGAAGACGACTTTTATACTTTAGTTTTGACTTCAAATAGTCCAATGAACATGAGATGCAGCAATTTTGTACTGTGTAAACAGACCATTTTAACTTTATAAGTGATTTAATAAGCTACTTGTTTTGTGACATCATCAAATACGCTTAAATATTGATATAATGTCGTCTTTCTATTCCACAGTTTTATGGTTCTCACTGTATATTGTCAATAAGCGTTAAAGAACGAAAATGATATTTTTTATCTTGTTCATTTTATTTATAATTAAATTATTAAAAAGAACTTCCTTCAATTTAATGAATTGATAACGAATTTTAAAGAAACTAAAGAAAAATAAAATGTAATTTTATTTTTGAAACTTATTTGACGAAGAAAAATTGTGACATTTCATAATAACTGTCTAGTTCATCATATTTGTTTATCTTTATTTGAAGATAAAAAATTGTATGGTTTTTACAAGAAGCAAAGGAGTTGAGTTCTTGCCACAATTTTCTAATCCCTATATCTTTTGAACCCTATGTCGTAAACCTTTGATAATTTAAACTTACATTATTTGATCTAACAGAATTCATAGTTTGAAATGTCAAAGGTCTACACCATTGGACTGCAAAGATATATGAATTAGAAAATCACAGTTTGTAACAAAGACTCAATTCCTTTACGCAAAAGTGTTTATTTTCAAAACAAATATTTTGCACTCAAAGGACCTGTTTTTCTAACTAATATATCTTAGCAACCTTTGACATTGCAAACCATGAATTCTGTTAGATCAAATAGTGTAAGTTTAAAATATTAAAGGCTCCAAAGATTTGGGAATAAGAAAATGTGATTTTTTGGCAACATCTTTCTTTTACACTAGAGCAGTCGACAAGCTGATATCCACAACCTCATTTCCTTTTACACTAGAGCGGTCGACAAGCTGATATCCACAACCTCCTTTCCTTTTACACTAGAGCAGTCGACAAGTTGATATCCACAACCCTCTTTCCTTTTACATTAGAGCAGTCGACAAGCTGATATCCACAACCCCCTTTCCTTTTACACTAGAGCAGTCGACAAGTTGATATCCACAACCCACTTTCCTTTTACACTAGAGCAGTCGACAAGTTGATATACACAACCCCCTTTCCTTTTACGCTAGAGCAGTCGAAAAGTTCATATCCACAAACCCCTTTCGTTTTATGGTAGAGCAGTCGACAAGTTAATATCCACAACCCCCATTCCTTTTACACTAGAGCAGTCGACAAGTTGATATCCACAAACCCCTTTCCTTTTACGCTAGAGTAGTCGACAAGTTGATATCCACTGTTACGCTACTTAGCGATTTCCCTAAAGACCTAATATATGTACTGTGTGGTATTTCTCAAGACCGGATCGTAAGACTTCCTTCTCTCAACGCTCTTCATAACAAAAGGATGATAATAAGGTTCCGAACGTTTATTTCTCTGAGTCTTCAATCTAAATAAGTTTAATAAACCCACAGAAAAAGCTTTGAGTGATAAATCATACGAATACAACAAATAATTCACTCAGGCATTAAAAAACTGTGGCGAGGAACCAACAAACACATATATAAATATCAATCATACTATAATCAACCGATAAGCATACGTATATATATAAGAAATAATTACCACAGTGATCCTAGAATTCTGGACACGGTTACACTTTGCAAGACAAATAAACATATACTAATATAAAACTGTTCACTCTCACGCGAGAAATCTTGCGCCTGCGTAGTCAGTCTGTAAACAGCTTCCAAAACTAGTTTTTCACAATACGTTCTGTACAGATCCGCAGAGCCCGAAATTTAAAAGAGTATCGTTGAACGAAACTCCCGAGTTTCATTTTGGGGGTCTTAACATTTGTGTAGATTTTGATTTAAGAGGTTCAAAAAATATGGATAATATGAAGAAACCAAATAAAACAATATTTTATAACAAAAATATTGATATCCACAAAACTACCTAACCCCATTCGTGAAACCCAGGTTCCAAAACTGGTTTTTTAACGATACTCTGTCTTAAGTTTTGGGCTCAGGGAGAACTCAGAAACTCACAGGGGCATCAACTAGACTTTATACACGGAGCATGGCTCGCGTAACATCCACAACCCCCCTTCCTTTTTCACTACAGCATTCAACAAGTTGATATTCACAACCCCATTTCCTTTTACGCTAGTGCAGTCGACAAGTTGATATCAACAACCCCCTTTCCTTTTACACTAGAGCAGTCGACACGTTGATATCCACAACCCCCTTTTCTTTTACACTAGAGCAGTCGACAAGCTGATATCCACAACCCCCTTTCCTTTTACAGTAGAGCAGTCGACAAGCTGATATCCACAAACCCCTTTCCTTTTTATATAAATATTTCAATATCTCATTTTTAACATTTATATTTTTATGAAAAAAACTAAAAATCTATTTTGAAAAATTTGAATTGAAAATTGAATTTTCATAGTTTCTAGAATCATTTTATTTAATTCTAAATCTACACATGTATATACTTTAAGTGCCTGTTTGTCTATCCGTTTGTATCCAATAAAAGTCAAAACGGCTGAACCGATCGAGCCAAAATTTTGTGTGGGACCTCACATGACCCCAGGAAAGATTAATGCATTTTGAAGTTTACAAAAATTTGCCTTTAACAAAATTCCAGTTTTGAAAATTTTGAAAATGCACGAAATTTTTGTTTTTTGTTTTACAATGTATACACAGAGAAAATGTTCACAATTGAAATAGAAGATGGTCGCGAAGCGCTCTAAAAGCCTAGTTTTTCTATATTTAATTTGGAATTACCTTCACCTTCATTTATGAATATTTCACAAATTAAGTTTGTAATATTCTAACATTTAAAATGTTTTTTTTTTAAATTTAGAATTTAGAATTTAGAATTTAAATATTTCATTTTTTTATTTTTTATTCGGAAGATACTGAGAAAATACCATTGGACCACATGTACATTCATTATTTAATGGATAATGGGTTAGAACTATTTTTCTACCATAAAAAAAAACAGTGAAGATTGTTAAAATGGTTTTAAGGCAATAAAAACAAAAATTTGTTAATATGTATTCCAAAAAAGTTAACTATCAACTATTATGACTAAGTAAACTACACATATCCCTGTTCAACCGCGAGCAGAAACCTGGAAAAATATAAGACAGCTTTTGTTTACAAAACGTTTCGCGGATTAATCACTAAATAACTTTTAAGGCGACATTATATAAATTCTTATGTTATCTTTTTAAACATGGATAAACTAACACTAATAAACTCTTATTTTCTAATCCTTATAAACCATTGCAACCTGATGGTGTTTCATTCTACTTTTTCAAACTTTGAAAATTGATTTAACAGAATTTATAGTTTGAAATATCAAAGGTCTACGACATTAGAGTGCATAGATCTTAAAGTTAAACTAAACTTTTAGCTAATCTTAAAAGCTGAAGGGTCAACTGGGGGGGACTAGCAACATTTTTCAAAACAAAATATCTTTTTTGGCAAAGTTAAGCGGAAAAAAATTACGATTCAGTTGACCTTGCCTTTCAGAAAAAATATAATCAAAGTACAATTATAATTGACAATGTCGAAATTCATTTCTTCAAATTAAAGTTTGTATTCAATAACTCACAAAGTCAAATAAAGAAACTGCTTGTTTGCGGAAAAAATATATTTTGTTTAATCCTAATATCTTTGCAACCTTGAAGTCGTTATAGACCATTGATATATTGACTATAAATTAAACTACATAGATAAAAAACCAAAGTTTTTAATATTAAAGATTTACTAAATCCGGTTAAAAAAGCAGACTAGAAAATTACATTTTGTGGCGAGTAATCAATTTCTTTTCTATTTTTAAATTTTTTTTAAATAACTGAAATGATGTTTTAATTCAAAGCATAAAATAGTTTTGTGTGCAAAGGTACGCCCATTTTTTAGTATACACTAACGCTTCAGTCCTATAGTCTCATTTTATTATACAGGGAATAATAAAATAGAAAAAATTGACTTCAAATTACAGAAATTCTTGATTTGTTTAACTTTCGGTATTAATTAAAAATTATTTACAAAAAAGCCTAAAATATTTTTTCTAGAATACATATAAAATATATCTATGTAGTAAAGCCCTACTCCATAACAAATCCTCGTAACGTATCTATCCAGGTACAACCCGTCCACTATCAAAGTCAACCAGGGTACGATCCACACTGTAACAATCCCGTAAACTATCAAAGCTACAACCAGTGGGCGCGATCTCGTTAGCAATCAAACAAGCTATTAATCGGGCTCTAATTGTCACACATGGACACAAGCCTAGATATCAAACTAGCAATTAATCATGCTCCAAATGGCACACAGGGACACAAGTCTAGCTATTAAACAAGCTATTAACTATCGATCCCAAATCAAAGACGACGATCCTCAACCTGTTTATCAAACAGGAAACAATTACTCTCTCGTAGTAAACAGTACGGAGTTACTCTATCAACTAAGGTATATTTCTTCAGTAGACTAAATTGGGTCTTTAACAGCGTAATTACAAGTTATGCGCTGTTAAATATAACGTAGTTAAGCAATCATAATATGGGCATGTCAGAGTTATATATATCTACATATAGAGATATTGGGTTAATCACAATGCATGATTTACGTATTTACAAATGGGCACGTTTAGCTTTATACAATATACAACGTAATTTACTCTGGGCTTCCATTTTTGTCAAACCTAATCTACATTTAAAGAAATAATATATCTAGAATATATTTACACTATATCTAGAAGTTCTATTTAGAATATATTTAGAACCGATTTAGAATACATCTAGAATATATCTAGAATATATCTAGAATGTATCTAGAATGTATCTAAAATATATCTAGAATATATTTCGAATATATCTAGAAAGTATTTACAATGTATCTAGCATATATCTAAAATGTAGCTAGAGTATATCTAGAATATATCTTGAGTATATATATGTATAAATATATATTTATAGTTTATATCTAGAGTATATCTAGAGTATATATCTAGATTATATCTAGAATATATCTAGAGTATATATATGTATAAATACATATTTATAGTTTATATCTATATATTATATGTATCTGTATCAGTGTATTCTCTATATATGCTGACTATAGAAAAGATATATCCTAGAACAAGAACTGAGTCAGCTTAAACTAAAATGGGAAATTAAAACGGAAATGTTGACATATTTTCCAGTTTTTATGCAGCGTTTGGCATTTAAAAGATTTAAAAAAAAAAAATTTAATTCTATTTACTTTCAAATTTTCCCAAACTTTCTTTTTCTTTTTCACATATCTTAAATT